GAAACAAAAATTGAATTTTCAGGATAATTCAACACCATTATCTACGTGACCTGCCTGTATAGAAGTGAATGTTGACATATAAATTTTGGATTTTCACAATATTTTAGGTTTTACCAAATGGAAATCTGGTATTCCCTCCCTTCCGAGCAGAAGACTATCGTCAAGAAGTCCACGCGCAAGTTTATGTATGTTTGGCAAGGAATTCTGTTGGATCAATTCACTCCAGAGATGTCAACGTGAGAGCAGGTGAGGTTAAGACCATTCTTTTTTTAGGAACTGAGATGGACCACTCGCTCAATGCACAGCTGATTTCTCAATTCATACATTACAACAATGCCATACTTTTATGTATCGCTGGATGAATATATCCAATACGATAGATCCTAGAGATCATGCCGGATGGCGTACTGATATATATTTTGATAATTCGAATGCTTAGGAGATGTGTACCTTTAGATTAGATGTTCCTCATGACACTATGATATAGGTTGTACATGTCGTCATTCTGAATGAAGTTTAAAAAACTGCTCAGAGAATGAATGATTGGACTAATCTCCAATTGAAAGAAGCTAACCACGAGTATAAATGTGGCTGGGCTTAGGTTAGGTTAGATAAGGTTAGTTTGTGTTAGGTTGTTGGGTCGTGTTCAGTTAAACATTTTCAAAATGTTGAAAAATTAAACAAGTTTCCAAAATTAGCCATAAAGTTCATGAAACTAAAATGTTTCGAAATTAAATTTTTCTTCTTCAAAATTTCAGAATTTTTTTTAAAATTACGAAAATTTCCAAAATTGGTAAAATATCTGTAAAACTAATTTTTTTTTGAAAACTTAGATAAATTAAAAAATTCTGAAAGTTTATATACCATCAAATGTGATAGCGATATGATGATGTCAAGTTTCCAAAATTAGCCATAAAGTTCATGAAACTAAAATGTTTCGAAATTAAATTTTTTTTCTCAAAATTTCAGAATTTTTTTAAAATTACGAAAATTTCCAAAATTGGTAAAATATCTGTAAAACTAATTTTTTTTTTGAAAACTTTGATAAATTAAAAAATTCTGAAAGTTTATATACCATCAAATGTGATAGCGATATAATGATGTCTTGTGCATCACAGTGTTGTAATTTTATATTTTACATTAAAATTGCCTTCACAGAAGTGACTTGTTTTTTTAAAGCTATTTCCACAGATATTTTCAGGACCATATATTAAGTGGCATGGTCAGTAGTGGCATTACGGCCATACTATTTCTGTAAATGCGTCAGTCGGTTCTGAATTTATTATGGAGATTGCGGGTGGTTACATAAGCCTATCTTTCATTATACAATAAGGAAAGTAGGCTGAGAAAACAGAGAATATTATAAAGAATGGACAGTTGGCTGGAAATAAATGAAAGTAGAACTGGGTTGAGCTTGAGCTATACATATGCCAGGTGACTCGTTAGAGGTGCAGTGTTAAGATGGTAGCAATGATATAGTCTGTTGTTAGAAAATTGACTTGTGCTAATTTGTGGATGGGTTGTGTTTGGGGATTGTAAATTAATTTGACCTGTTCATGGAGTCATGGGATAAAAGGATTATCTGTCTGTGGGTTATTTGATGATGACATATCAAATGCATGGTTATGTTGCATTAAGTGTATTGTGTACGATCAGTTGGGAAATATTTACGAGGCAGCAGTACCATTTTAGGAAAATGTCGCTTGTCCCTATTGTGGCAAGCAGTCGGTTGATTCGAGAGGTACTAAAATTGTCAAATGTTAACTCGTGTCTCATATATAGTACTTGGACATTTATTTCATTATTACTAAGGTAGTATATTTGCATCATATTGTGAATTAGGTTAATATTTTAATGTTTTCCGTCAAATCACAATTTCAATAAGATAATAAAATATAAAATATTTAAAATATCATTTCACGTTCCGCATCGAATGATCGATTTACAAATTAGAACGTCTCTTACGACATGTTTCGGTTATATTTAACCGTCCTCAGGTATAAATTAGATTGGTAAATTTAAAACTCGAATTACAATCATTTACAATGTTATGCAGTTTATTGAAATGTTCTTATCAGATTACTCTTATATATTAGAACGAAGGTATTGTTTTTTATATGGCGTGGTTCATCTGATGTTCAATATTAGTCGGTGATGAGTTGATAGAGACATGACGTGTCTTATTTTATATTTTATTATCTTATTAAAATTGTGATTTGACGGAAAATATTAAAATATTCATTATTACTGTCACTGCTGCCTCCTGCTAACATTCAAATTTGTGTCTAATCTTCTGTGAGTTGTTTCATTAGCTATGCTATTGTAACACAAAGAGAACTATGCATACAGGATATATGAGCATGTCTTTGGATGCTGTAATGGAATGGGAAAGAAATTACATGAGATAAGCCAGATATAATTAAAAATGATGATTACATCTCAGTTCCTGTAACAAAAGTTCATAAGGTATATCAGAATTGAAACAGTAATTGATAGTGTTTTGTATTGGTCCAAAAATTTTTTTAAATTGGAACAGATTCTTCGTTCCATATAGATTTTTGTAAAATACTTTTAAACAGTGATTTCCAACCTCATGTTACAACCCAATCCAGGATCATGGAAGGGTTTTAATAGGACCGCAAAGGATATTTTTTATTTATTAATTCTGACAAGCTAAAATGTTGATTCAATTGAATAAAAATTTTCTTGAATATTATCCATCGTCTAGTAAATATAAAACATAAAACGACGTTTCGGAGATGGGACTCTATCTCCGTCTTCAGGTTCCTACACAGTCTGGCCCACTAGATAGAGCTAATCCCTATCTCCGGACGACTAGACGATGGATAATATCCAAGAAAATTTTTATTCAATTGACTCTTCACCATCGTCAAGAAGTTTTAGATCTGATATAAAATGTTGATTGTTAGGATAAAATAATTATGTTGGTAGCCAGTTTAAGGTTGTAGCAAGGAAAAGTTGGGAATCAGTGGTTACAATTAATGTTATTGAGTCGTAACATTGGTAATACGGGATATGTGTGTTTACGTTTGAATTTCATGCTGTTTTGTTCCTGGTTTTGTGTGTATTTCATAGTTGGTTTACTGTCAGATGAAGAGGTACACTAGACTCTTTCCTTGAGCCTCTGTGGATTGATGTATTGTCCTGTTCTTAGCATGATGCTTCAGTCATCTGAAACAACAAATCACTGTTTTATTACTTTGTTTTAGGGCCACTGTAGTTGTGTTTGAAATGTGATCAGTCAGTGAAACAGTTGGCCACTTGATATTTTATTCAGAAGTTAATAGCTTGGTTTCTCAACCTTTGTTCTTCTTGAGAGATGCAGTACTTGTTATAGCATTTTCAATCTTCTCTTGCTTCGTACGAGATATCCGAATGACATTGGGCGTCTTTTAATTTGTCACAACCCGGTATGTTTTCGTCAGTTACGTCTTCTTATCAAGTTAAAGGCTTGGAAGTCATATGAAAGAAATCCAACTGCGACTCTATCTGTACAAGTATTCTATATTTCTAACCCGGAGCATCTGTAACCAGTATAATTATTCTCGGAGAATTTGGATATATGGAAGACATGTATATGAGCCTTCTGTAAAGTCATTGTTCTCAGTATTGTTGCATAAATTCATTAAGCAGCACATGTTATCGCCTGTGACATAGGTAATTTGGTTGGAAATTCATGAGTCGTCACTAACAATGCTTGTGGTTCATGCCATAGGCACATCTCGTTGCAATTCTGACTGTTTATACTTGTGACTTAGAGAGCATTCTTTGAGCTTGAATTTGGGGTTGCTCGTTGTAGAGCGAGGCTCCTTATCAAGGCCTATGTTACTCTTGGCTTCCCTCTTCTCTTCTGATTAGTTGGGAAGCTAAAGCCTGCGTAACCGTCTGGATTACTGGGTTTGAACCGTTCCGCCCTAACAAGGTATCAAACGCCTGCAGCAATGTCATCAGTGTTCTGTTCCAACGCACGTGTCTTAGTATTGTTGTGATTGGTTGCAGTGGTGCAGCAGTTCTATGACACAGATGTGAACAAGGAATACGCTATCCGTGGTAATTCAGCTGTTCTCAAGTGCCAAGTGCCGTCGTTTGTAGCAGACTTTGTTAGTGTTGTTTCTTGGCACACCGACCAAGGGGAAAGTTTCTATCCTTCAACTTCTGACTACGGTAATTCATAAGTAAGGCACAAACCTCCTGATGTAACATGTGTCTGTATTACAGTTGTACAGCAGTTTTACCAGACTGAGGTGAACAATGAGTATGTGATTCGTGGCAACTCTGCAGTCCTCAAGTGCAGTATTCCGTCATTTGTTGCTGATTTTGTGAGCGTGGTGTCATGGCAAGATGATTCAGGCAACATGTATGCGGGGACTGATGCCTCCTCTAACCAGGGTAATGTGATCCCCCACCCTCCATGCTTTCAGCCTCAGCAGGGTGTTCCAGTCCGTTCAGTCATGTGTGGGATTGGTTGGAGGAAACTGGCGAGGAGAAAGGCTGTCTATATCAGGATATTTACAGAGTGGCATAATGGAATATCACTTTTGTCATATTTCCGGAGGACATGACTGCAAAATATGTGGCACATGCTTACTTAGTTATATAATGCTGAAGGATGGGCATTAATTTGTGTCTTTGCCAATTTGAGTGTTCTGCAGACAGGAATTGTGAAGGACAATTGGAATTTAAAATAGAAAGGGTGAAAGCTCTTCATGAATGTTTATGATGACATATGGTATAAATTTACAACTGCAGAATTTATTGTTGTATGGACTCTGCATGAAGGCAGTCTGCAGTTTTCTGAAATGAGACCATATCAGAACTATATGTCTAGATATTCTAGTTTGTACAGGTCCATTGTTTGAGTAGTGAATTTGCAGTCATGAAAATTCCTTCAAAAACATGTTTCTGGTTTGAAAACTGTTTAATGTTTACTGAATTTGGAACCTTTCACGAAAGCCAGTTTTTTTCTGATTAGTCCTGTAACATTGATTCTTGTGTTGGTAATTAATACTCTCACACTTCCTCAGTTGTTAACCAGTACTACGAAGCAGAAGTGGTCTCAGAGTATGTGATTCGTGGGAATACAGCTGTCCTCAAGTGTAACATTCCATCATTTGTGGCTGACTTTGTGAAAGTGGAATCTTGGGTGGGCAGCGAGGGAACTGTTTACATGCCATCGACTGATTATGGTAAAGTAACGATTCCCAGTCCCATATTGACATTTTTCTTCACAGGTGTTTTACTAACTATCTCTCTCTCTTCCTTGCAGGAAAAATTTTTATGTGACTGTTGTTTTGATATTGTTGTTATGTGAGTCAGCTTGTGTAGAGACTGTTTATTTCACAGTTGTCAATCAGTTTTATGAAGCAGAGATTCTGACAGAATATGTAATTCGTGGGAACACGGCTGTTCTAAAATGCAGCATCCCTTCATTTGTGGCTGACTTTGTCCAAGTTGAAGCCTGGATAGCTGACGACGGCGAGGTTCATGTGCCGTCTTCTCAGAACTATGGTATGCTCATGCATAACTATTATAAACTTCATTCCTTCCTTATTTCCTTCCCAACACCATTTTTACATTGTTTTTTCCAGCGGTTGCTCAGTTCTATGTTACGGAAGCCGAGAATGAATATGTGATCCGTGGCAACAGTGCGGTGATGAAATGCAAGATTCCGAGTTTCGTGGCAGATTTCGTCTCTGTTGAATCATGGGTTGCAGACAGTGGACAGATCCATACTTACACCACAACATCTGATAATTACGGTAATGGTCAATGCTGTAACTGGTATTGGAGTTATTCCAGTCTCTTTCAGTTGTGTCACAGTCATATGAAGCAGAAGCGGACAATGAGTATGTGATCCGTGGAAACAGTGCCGTGATGAAGTGTGAGGTACCGAGCTTCGTGGCTGACTTTGTAGTAGTGGAGATGTGGCTGGACAGTGCAGGCAACACATACCTTCCCGGCTCTGACTATGGTAATGACTGTAAATTTTACTTGCTTTCTCTCCACAGCCCCTTACCACCTCCCATGCTACCACACAGTTCCTTCATGAAGCAGTGATTTGTTTACACTTGTGATTCTACAGTGGTGCATCAGTTCTACCAGAGCCGAGTCATTGATGAATTTATTCTTCGTGGCAATACAGCAACTGTCAAGTGTTTGATTCCAAGCTTCGTCGCGGATTTCGTGCAAGTTGTTGAGTGGATCACAGATGATGGCTCATTTTCTGCATCTCCTACATCCGACACCGATTATGGTAATAAGAAATGTTACCATCTTTCTTTTCCATACCCTCCTGGTACTAAACATACTTTTTCTTTACAGGGTTTATCCATCTAAGATTCTTTTACAGGTTGCTGGATACTGAAAGCAGTGCTTCTTTCTTGCTATTAAGACTGATGTGTAAATAATACTGATTTGTTACAGTTGTGAACCAGTATTATGAGGCCCAGGTGTATGATGTGTTTGTGATAAAGGGTAATGCAGCTGTCTTCAAGTGCAACGTACCATCATTTGTATCTGACCACGTGGAGATAATCGGTTGGGAGGACACTCAGGGGAATAGCTATCTTCCTCCTGCCAATTATGGTAAACATTTCCTTTTTACTGATTGATTATTAATTTCTTACAGTGGTCACACAACGTTACGAGGTGAATTTAATGGACGAGCATGTGTTACGAGGGAACACGGCCATTATTAAATGTCACATTCCAAGTTTTGTAGCTGATTACGTTTTTGTATCATCGTGGTTGGAGAATGAACACACGGAGATCTTCCAGGATGGTAGCCATTATGGTACATGGTTTTGTTTTGTTTTGTTTGCAGGTTTTGGTCACCTCACTCCATTCTGAAGACATTTTCCTCTGTCATGGTCATTCCACACTCCTTCCAGCAGTTTAATTATTAATCTGTAGAAAAGATGTATTCTGTGGAGTATTACCATTTTAGTGCTGTATCTTCCCATATAACAGAAAAGCTCAATTTCAAATACTTTTTGATTATATAACCTCAAACTTACAGCTGCTTCTGCTATAGTTGATGGCACACAAATTATTATTAACAGTATGGACTGTGGGATTATTTTTAAACTGATAATCTGAGTAGTTATATATGCATATAGGAAAGAGTCAGATTTGAAAATGACATGTATGCTTGCATGCATATATTTTTGTCACCCCCAATTATTAGTATGTATTGGAAAATTCTTATGTTCAATTCTCTGATATATTAGGGACTCAAAATGACTTTCACTAGCCCATTTTTAAGATGAAATATGTATGTTTTTAAACATTTTTATGTAATTCCATAACTAAACAAAATGTGGGTGTGGTAAACATATATTTCTGATAAAACAATGTCTATCTTATTACCACTGACCTGTATTTTGTTTGCATTCTGACTTACAATTTTTTGGAATTCAACCCCAAATCTGCACACAGTTTGTTGAGGACTGTCATTAAATGAACTTAATTCAGAATATTGTATTTGTGAGCAGAAGAGTTTATTTCTCAAATGCCACCAGATCATGCATGAGTTATATGATGGCCCTTTGTTAAAGTACCATAATATAGCAGCCAACCTGGCTCACCTTGGTCCACATATCTAATGCAGGGTTTGAAGAACACATACGGAAAAAAGAACTTGTTTCTGACAAATAAAGTAATCTGATTCTTAAAAGATTAAGAGACTTAATTATTGAAAAATTATCCTGGTAATTACATTCAAGAAGATGTGATAAGTTTAACAACAGAATCTTGAAACCCTTTAACCACAGAATGCATCTTCTGAGTGTGATAGAGTAAAAGAAGGCTTTGGAAGTTTGCCATAAGGAACTGTATAATTCTTTGCATGT